CTAGTGTCACAGAAAAAGCAGTGCAGGACAGGAATGTTTTACATGATTCGTGTCTTTTCCCAAGGCTGGCCTTGTCGTCAACATTCAGGGTTTTCCAGGACGTGCAAAGCAGGTCCATCCCCTCGGAACCCCCCATGTCAGTGCGCAACTTGGCCCGACCATGGCTGTTGGCGGTTGCCTTTCCCGCCTTTGCCCTTGTGGCAGCGTCCAACACAGAGATGCAGCTCGCTATCTTCTCCCGCAATGCAACGGCAGTCAAAGAGCTGCTTGCCTCTGGGCAGACAGACATCCGCACCTGGCGGAACCCGGAGTATCACACAACTTTTGTGATTGATGCGGCTGTCATTCCAAACAACACGGAAGTTCTCCGATTGTTGCTCGAAGAATGGCCGGAAGGAGCCTCTGCTACGGAACCCACATACGGCTCGACACCATTGATCGCTACATGTAGCTTTGGCCGTTTTGAAAATGCGAAGGTGCTTGTGGAGATGTGGCCGGAAGGAGTTCAGGCTGTCGACCGGTTTGGCAAGACAGCTCTGCATGTTGCCGCGGAGTTTGGCCATCTACACATTCTCCAGTTCTTGCTCGGACACTGGCCGGAAGGGTTGCACTTCAAGGACAACATCGGCCGGACGCCCATGAACTTTGCAGCATGCAGCACGGTTCTTTGGCTTGGCTGCGACGAGACAATGGTGCTGCCTCTGCCTCGGAAGGAGGCATGGAAAGACGTAGCCCTGAACCTGGACTGCAAGCACTTGGACAAGCTTTCCAAGCCGAACCTTGAGCTGTGGCTCCAGTGCGGTGGGGACCTTCGGATTCAACCTCTTGGGACGCCGCTCTTAGTCCACCTGAAGAACGAGGAGGCGAAGGACTTCTTGAAGGAGCGCATGGCATCGGGGTTGCTGGAGAAGATCGTGGGAGACTGGCGCACCTGGGCAGCTCTGGGCACTGCGCTCCTTGCCTCGTTGGCAGCTGTTGGCCTGGAGCAGTTGTGTGCAAAACACTCCAAGGTCAGAAAGCCAGGTGCGGCCAAGCGCAACCCCTTTGAGCTCGGTGCCCACGTGTTGGTGTGCAGGGCTTTCGGGCGCCCGCATGTAGCGCTTCGCAGAGCCTGGCGTCTCCTTGAGATCTACACCTTCGTGATATTGTTGGCTGCCCGTCCAATGGTTCTATATTGGGCGACATGGTTGCCGTTAGTGGCCGTGCTCTACATCGTCCCCGGCATCGTCGCCTTTGGTCCGAAGGCCGTTATCAGCAGCCCGGTTCTGGTCCTCACCGCAAGCAATCTGGCCAGCTACGTGTTCGGCCTCCTGCGGTTGATTGTCTTGGAGAGTCTTGCCCATCTTGTGGAAAGCTATCAGCTTAGCCGTTGGTTCCGGGCTGGTGACTTTTATGAGGTGCGTCCAGTGGATGCCTCCTTTTGGCTCTCGTGGTTGGTTGATCCGGAGTTTGCCACATGGGTTGTGCAAAAACCGTGGGGGATCTGGGCGGAAACCAACTTGCAGGACACCTTCCCCTGGGCGCCATCTGTGACGGCATCTGACATGTATGAGACGCTGGCGCGAGTTATCGGTGATTATCTTCCATGGCTGTATGGGTCGTGCTTGCTTCTGGCAATTCTGCACAGCTTAGGCAGGCGCCATGCAACTCGATGCCGTGGAGTCTTGGGCAGCATGGAGCAACATGATGCTCAGCTGGCGTGTCAAGACATCCTTCGAAAGAAGTCCGAGGAGTTTTGCACAGTGAACGCCAAGATCAAACCAGTAGTGGGCTTCGGCTGGCCCTGGCGGGATGCTGGTATTTATCCCAGAGTCGGACTCGTGTTGCTGGACATCGCCCTCGACATCAACACTGTCATCACCTTCCTCTCAGACCAGCGATTCGTCTTTGCCGGGGTCATGACCTTCGTCATAACGCGAAGTCTGCTGAAGCAGATGTGCATTCTCAGGCCATGGCATCTCCGAAAGGCGATCAATGCCAGCATCCAGAGAGGAATTATGCAGCAAGACCTGCTTGATTTCCTCATGGAGGAAAAAGGTTCCGAGGCTATCGGAGCCGCCTGGCTCACCGCTTGGTCGATCTATCTATCCGTCACCACGGCCTTCGAGATGTTGGTGCAGACGCTCAGTTTGTGGCTGAGCCTTCTTGGAGTTGCAGGCTATCTAGTCCAGGTGTGTGATTGGGGGACTCCCTTCATTCCCGTCAATCTCGAAGACGCTCACAAAGAGGCGGCTGCTACGTCGCCCGATGAGGACCCCGAGAAGGCGAGTGCTGCACGCGATGAGGACAAGGATATGGTTGAGGTCTACTTCTGAACCAATACAAGTTAGGAAGTTAGGGACGAACGAATGCTATGTGACTAGGTGGCCCATGGGACATGTTCTATTTTCCATGGGGAACTTTTTCTTGGGCGTTTTGACCACCGGGTTCTTGACAGATCCGCCAGACCCCCCTGGCCGCTGAGCTCAACAAGGCTAACATAGGCTCTGGAAACAATCTACGATTTGCTTAAGAACCCCCCTAAAAAAAATTCGAGTCCTGATCCCTATATTGCCCTTCTACGGAGAAATGTCGTTGTTCTTGGGGGGTTCTGAAGCAAATAGTAGTAGCTGTTCAGGACCCTGGAAGGGATCCAATTGAAGCCTCCACCATTTCTATGTCAGCACCCTAAACCCTAGCCCTAAACCCTAAACCCTAAACCCTAAACCCTAAACCCTAAACCCGAAACCCTAAACCCTAAACCCTCCGCCATTTCTATCATTCTATGCCACACAAAGAGCTTTGCATCAGTTGAGATGTTAAGAACCCAAAGAGGGCTGCTTCAGTCACTTAGGGGCCCGCTCATGCTGTGAACCCACCCCGAAACCCTAAACCCTAAACCCTAAACCCTAAACTCTAAACCCTAAACCCTAAACCCTAAACCCTAAACCCTAAACCCTAAACCCGAAACCCGAAACCCGAAACCCGAAACAACCAACACAGCACTTCTCCAGGGCCCTCTAAGTCAAGGGGGCGAAAGGAGGGACCCTTCTCGAGGGAAGTTATGGGTTATTCAGGGGCTACTGAGGTCTCTTGGGGCTACATACGGTAGATATATAGATATATATATATATATGTATATATGTATATGTAGGGGTTATATAGGGGAATAAGATTAAGGGCCCCTTCTAGGGGTCCCTCCTTATACCCCTTATACCCCTTAACTAAGTGCACAATCTTCCGCAGCTCGTACGTGCCATTTTGTTTTGCACCGGGAAGCCGGCGTCACACCACTCTTTTTAAACCATGGCAGTCCCACAACTTGGGAGCCCAGTGGTAGCCTTTGTACCCTTCTGTGCTTTTTTTGGTTCAAGGTCTCCTTGTAAAGCAGCCAACCCCAAACAGGATACCCTTATTTTGATATGGTTACTGGGCTACCAAGAAAATGTAAAGGTGGGAGGGAGATCGGGAGTTCAAAAGCCCACCTGCGTATTAGCAGGCAGATGGGCCTTTCGATCTCATTTTGGTGGCCAGCGCGCGGTGATCCAAAGATTTGAAGCGCCTGCAGAGGTTGTGCCTCATCAGTTTGGGGTTTTTGTTGTAGATGTAGGTTTAATTTAGACGTATACGAGTCACACCTGAAGACCCCTTGGGTTGCAAGGAGGCACTGCTCTGCAGGAGAGAAATGCTTGCCCAAACCACAGGATCGACAAAGGCAGTCCGTGCAAAAAGCTGGCAGTCGGCAGCCTTGCTTGGAGGTTCATGGTACTTATTCGCCAATCATCACTGCCCGCGACCGTGGAACCGTCGAACCCCGAAAGGTCCGAAAAGCCCGAAAGACTACGAGCCCCAACACTTCAGTTCTTCGCTCCGTGCTGTCAAGGCTGTCCTGAAGGTTTGAAAAGGGTTGTGTGTGTTCTCTGTGCGTGTTTTGCGTGTTTTGCGTGTTTTGCGTGTTTTGCGTGTTTTGCGTGTTTTGCGTGTTTTGCGTGTTTTGCGTGTTTTGCGTGTTTTGCGTGTTTTGCTTGTTTTGCGTGTTTTGGTGCGTTTTGTGCGTTTTTTTTTTGTTTGTGTGCGTGTGTTTTTTTTGAAGGAATGCCCAGAATGTTCTGTGCGCTCCAAGCCCACCAAGGCCCCAGAGAGCCCTCTGGGAGCCTCTGACATCTCCAGCGCGGGCTTGAGGCGCCTCGGGCACCCTAAGCCCTAAACCCTAAACCCTAAACCCTAAACCCTAAACCCTAAACCCTAAACCCTAAACCCTAAACCCTAAACCCTAAACCCTAAACCCTAAACCCTACACCATAAACCCTAAACCCTAAACCCTAAACCCTAAACCCTAAACCCTAAACCCTAAACCCTAAACCCTAAACCCTAAACCCTAAACCCTAAACCCTAAACCCTAAACCCTAATCGGAGCCAGGCACCTCGGGGGCTGCTACCATCAGGGTTTCTGCAGCAATACCGTGGGCGTTTTCGGAGCTTTTGGCTCCCTCAAACCCTCCCATCCTGAGAGTTTAGGGTTGAGGGGTTTGGGGTTTACCAAAACTCTCCACACTCCCCCGCCCCAAACCGAACGTCGGCGGCCCTTCCCGTACTTCCAGGTTTATGCTACAGTAAACCTCGAAATCCTAAACCCCCCAAATGGAGCCGCCAACGGCTGCACCTGTAGCCTTACCTGCCGGGTGCGCGAGTGTGAGAGTCGAACCCCCCCGTCCCCAAAGCTGTGAGCTCTAAATCCTCAACCCTCACAGCCCCACGAAAGAATCCTTGCCTTGTGCGAGTGTGAGCGTCGCAGCCCCTGGCCCATCAATGCTCGAAGCCCTCCCACTCGGTCGTTCTCGAACATCGGGTTTAGGGTTTAGGGGTTTAGGGTTTAGGGTTTAGGGTTTAGGGTTTAGGGTTTAAGGGCTTAACTTTACTGCTCGTTGGTTCTTTTCATTGGGGTCCACAAAAGGTTTTGTCAAGACCCACTTTCAAGAACCCGCCCTCCCACTCGCTTTGAGGTCCGGCTCCGGCAGCCCATGTTGGTCAAGGCCCCCGCGCGACCTTTTCACGACCTAGTTTGGTCAAGGGGGGGGGGGGGAGTCGTGCTTTCCAATTTGTCGGGCAAAATGTTTTTCGGAGAGCCAAGAATTCTGACCTCCCTTGAGACGGAAAGTTTGCCTTAAACAAACTTAAATGGCACCGCCTTTTGAGAACCTTGAAAAATCTCCTTGGGAGCCCCTGTGAGTGTTTAGGCTTCTTGCCCGCGCGCCGACTAAACCCTAAACCCTAAACCCTAAACCCTAAACCCTAAACCCTAAACCCTAAACCCTAAACCCTAAACCCTAAACCCTAAACCCTAAACCCTAAACCCTAAACCCTAAACCCTAAACCCTAAACCCTAAACCCTAAACCCTAAACCATTAGAGACGTCAAGGCCCGAACCCTAAGTTTTGCTCTACGGCTCCGAAACGCTCCAAACCTCAGCCCCAAGACGCCTCCGGAGGTTGGCAGCACGGCGACGCCTCCCACCCACAACGACTTCTCCACACAAAGCGACCTGAGCATGCACAGCGACAGGGGGCTCGAGGTTGTCGTTCCAGCAGCCGCGGCCCAAAAATCCTTGTGATTGGTTCGGCGACCTTTTTCCGATCAGCGTGCGCAAAAAGATCTGCACTTGGCGTGCCTGAGCCCTGAGGCTTCCACCCCCAAAGGAACGCCCAAAGCCCTAAAGTCCTAGAGCCCTAAACCCCTGAAGCCTGAAACCCCTTATGAGTATGATTCCAAGCCGAAAGCCAACTTGCACGAGCTGAGTCAAAGGAGCACTGATCTGCCCTTCACACAGCCTTCTTTTGCCTTGCAGAGCTTCCATGAGCTTCCTCAACAGGTTTAGGGTTTAGAGTTTAGGGTTTAGCCCCCCCCCTCCTGTTTGTGAACCCATGCCCCCCTTTCGCCAACCGAAACTATCCGTCTGAGCTGGGTACCCACATGCGCATGGCAGCCACGCGGACGCTTCGGCTCAAGCGCCAGGACAGATGGCGTGCGAAATCGAAAGTTTCCCAACAGCACATACTGTCGGGCCTTGCTCTTTTCAGAAACTGGCCAGGCAAAGCCGGAAAAAAGTTAGTGACCAAAAGCGGTATTGACCGCATACTGTTGGGCCTCTGCACGGCCCACCTGTGTGTTCAGTGCTCAGGCCTAAACCCTAAACCCTAAACCCTAAACCCTAAACCCTAAACCCTAAACCCTAAACCCTAAACCCTAAACCCTAAACCCTAAACCCTAAACCCTAAACCCTAAACCCTAAACCCTAAACTCAAAACCCTTTTGTGCCTTTGGCACAAAACAGCTAGTGTCATGGCTGCCCATGCTGGAGAGGGCTACTCTCAGCCACCTGGCACTGGTGGGCCTTGTGCAGATGCCTACCACCAAGTGGAGTCCAAATGGCGGGCGGTTCGCAGCTCGGCTCGTATGGTCCTTCGCTGATGAAGCCTGATGTCCTCCAAGCTGGAACCTGGAGAAATGCACTATAAACCCTGCCGGGGGACCATGACGGAACCTGAGCAGTCTCTGGTCTACTGCTAAGGAAGCTGAAGGAAGTAACTGCAAACGGGAACACGGACAGTTTTGTCATCTATCCTAATCTACTGTTTCCTTAAGAACCCCAAAAGAATAAGAAAAAGGAATCCCTATGTTAACCTTTATAGGGAAGACTGTTTCTATTTTTTCTGGGTTCTTAAGCAATTAGTAGCATGGGGTGACTCGGTTCACCTTCGCCAGCCACCCAGGCCCCCCCAAACTCCGAGAAGCTTGGAACCCCTCCCAAAGCCCTGAAACCCTAAACCCTAAGCCCTAGACCCTAAACCCCGAACCCTTACCCTAAACCCTAAACCCTAAACCCTAAACCCTAAACCCTAAACCCTAAACCCTAAACCCTAAACCCTAAATCCTAAACCCTAAACCCTAAACCCTAAACCCTGAACCTTTAAACCCTAAGCCTGTAGCCTCAAGAGCCTGGCAGCCGAAAAAGGCGACTTCGAGTCTCTACTACGGGAACCCCTTGCCGCAGAGGAGCCAAAGGTAAGAAGGGTTTAGGGTTGCGGGTTCAGGGTTTAGGGTTTAGGGTTTAGGGTTTAGGGTTCAGGGTTTAGGGTTTAGGGTTTAGGGTTCAGGGTTTAGGGTTTAGGGTTTAGGGTTTAGGGTTTAGGGTTTAGGGCTTGGCAGTCGGCAAGTCCAATTTCAAAAAGGGGAGAGGGCAAGGGCCAAGAGTTGAACGAGCTAGGGTTTAGGGTTTAAGGTTTAGGGTTTAAGGTTTAGGGTTTAGGGTTTAGGGTTTAGGGTTTAAGGTTTAGGGTTTAGGGTTTAGGGTTTAGGGTTTAGGGTTTAGCTTTCCCAGCAACCTGCTAGTGGCTTGCATGCACAAGGGTTTCGGGTTTACTTTAGGGTTTTGGGTTCAGGGTTAGAGAGATTTTGTAGTACTTGAAAGGCCGCAATCCATGATCTGCTGGAGGTCTTGAGAGGCAATCTCCGAAGCATATCGTACTACGCGACGTACTTGTAAAATAGACTGCCCACAGTGCTGGGCGGGTGGCACAAACCCTAAACCCTAAACCCTAAACCCTAAACCCTAAACCCTTCTAGTGCAGGACTGGGTGGCCGAGCTTCTGGCCCATCCCTCCACGGATGCACGCTGCGTCCGCTTGGGCTGCGCCTGGGAGGCCTACCGCGCCCTGCGCTGCAAGCCAGAGAGGGGCGGACCCTATCTTCAACCGGTGAGGTTTAGGGTTTAGGGTTTAGGGTTTAGGGTTTAGGGTTTAGGGTTTAGGGTTTAGGGTTTAGGGTTTAGGGTTTAGGGTTTAGGGTTTAGGGTTAGGTTTAGGGTTTAGGGTTTAGGGTTTAGGGTTTAGGGTTTAGGGTTTAGGGTTTAGGGTTTAGGGTTTAGGGTTTAGGGTTTAGGGTTTAGGGTTTAGGGTCAAGGTTTAGGGTCTAGGGCTTAGGGCTTAGGGTTTAGGGTTTAGGGTTTAGGGTTTAGGGTTTAGGGTTTAGGGTTTAGGACCCGTCAGAGCGCGCGGGGTCAAAAGGGTTTAGGGTTTGCCGTAAAAAGGGTTTAGGGTTTAGGGTTTAGGGTTTAAGCTATAGGGTTAAGGGTTTAGGGTTTAGGTTTTAGGTCTTAGGGTTTAGGGTCCGCAAAGCCTGCTGCAACAAAAGGGTTGAGGCTAGAATCCCTAGACTTCCTGAACCCTGAGCCTTAGATCCCTAGACTTCATATTCGCCCCTGAATCCCAAGCCCCCTGTTTGAGCTCGAGTTGGCATTCAGGGGTTTTCGGTGGTGACAAGACACGGGACTCATTTGGGGGACAGCCGCGGCTGAGACCGCTGTAGTGAGCGAGAGAGACTTGACTGTGACTTCAAAAGCAAGACCAAGAATAAGGATATCGATTTCGGAGCTGCTCTGCGATTGGGGGGGGGAGATGGTGTAGGCCGCAGGAACCTGCGGGCCATTTCACTCACTTACGCACTGACTCACGCGCGCATAATACGAATATGAGCTGCTGCTGTCTTAAGCAGTACCCCGGACCCGACCCATAATCACTGAGGCTTGCAGGGGCCGGTGGATGATGACGTCTTCCTCTTTCCCGCGGCCCTGGGCTGGGGACCCCAGAACAGACCTTGCTTTGGGCACCTCGTCGCTGGGATTCGCAACGTTGTAGAAGCCCCGCCGGGGAATTCTACGGGTTAGAGCTCGAAACTGAGCTCTGAACTCTAAAGACTTGAAGCTCTGAACCCAACACCCAAAACCCTTTTGCGCGCCTGGGGGGGTTGCCCACAGTGTTTTGGTTGTCTTCCCACTACTCGGAGGGTACACTGATGTGAGACCAGCTTTGAAGGGGGTGCCCCTTGTGTGCTGGAAATGGTGGAGGTGGATGAGGCCGTGATGTGAGTAGCTACGGGTGCGCACAGGTCGGGCTGGGCACTTAATATTTGCAGGAGAAGCGTGTTTGCCGCTATAGGCTCGACTGGCGCACTGCCCTGAGCGTGAGTGGAGGTGACGGTGTCTGCTTGGCTGAGTTCTTTGAAGGGTGATTTTAGGGGGAAGAAGAGCCGCGCTGAACGAAGTTGTCGCGAGAATGGCAAGCTGGCTTGCGAGAATGCCGGCCCGGCGGGCAGTACTCTGCTCGATGGGTGCAGGTGGCAGGCCTGCCTGGTGGTCGCTATGTTCGGAAGCAAGAACGCCCTCGCACTTCATCGGGCCGTTTCGTTCGTCATCGCGTCGTGGTTGCGTCGTTGCGTTGTTGGCTGTTGATGTTTGTCGTTGCTCTGCGTTGTTGTGGCTGACACTTTAAGCCTTCGCACTGGAGGTGTCGCCAGTTTGTTAGGCCAGGCGTGCGTCTTCGGCCAGACAAATGCCTCGGTCGATTGTCACTCACTCACTCACCCTATTGCGCGGCATTTTAGCTCAAGAAAGTTCCTTTGTAGGTTGCCATCCGTCGGAACAGTAGTTCTTTGGCACATTGACATGCTTAGCCTTTATAAGTGAGAGAAGCAGTTGAGCCTCGTACGGGCCAGGATTTCTCACATGACTGTCTTTTGTCCTCAACATTCAGGGTTTTCCAGGACCTGCAAAGCAGGCCCATCCGCCGGAACCTATGTGCGTGCGAAACTTGGCCCGACCATGGCTGTTGGCGGTTGCCTTTCCCGCCTTTGCCATTGTGGCAGCGTCCAACACAGAGATGCAGCTCGCTATCTACTCCCGCAATGCAACGGCAGTCAAAGAGCTGCTTGCCTCTGGGCAGACAGACATCCGCACCTGGCGGAACCCGGAGTATCACACAACTTTTGTGATTGATGCGGCTGTCATTCCAAACAACACGGAAGTTCTCCGATTGTTGCTCGAAGAATGGCCGGAAGGAGCCTCTGCTACGGAACCCACCTACGGCTCAACACCGTTGATCGCTACATGCAGCTTTGGCACTTTTGAAAACGCGAAGGTGCTTGTGGAGATGTGGCCGGAAGGAGTTCAGGCTGTCGATCGGCTCGGCAAGACAGCCCTGCATGTTGCCGCGGAGTTCGGCCATCTGCACATTCTTCAGCTTTTGCTCGGACAATGGCCGGAAGGGTTGCACTTCGAGGACGACATCGGCCGAACGCCCATGAACTTTGCAGCATGCAGCACGGTTCTTTGGCTTGGCTGCGACGAGACAATGGTGCTGCCTCTGCCTTGGAAGGAGGCATGGAAGGACGTAGCCCTGAACCTGGACTGCAAGCACTTGGACAAGCTTTCCAAGCCGAACCTGGAGCTGTGGCTCCAGTGCGGTGGGGACCTTCGGGTTCAACCTTTTGGGACGCCGCTCTTGGTCCACGTGAAGAACGAGGAGGCGAAGGACTTCTTGAAGGAGCGCATGGCATCGGGGTTGCTGGAGAAGATCGTGGGAGACTGGCGCACCTGGGCAGCTCTGGGCACTGCGCTCCTTGCCTCTTTGGCAGTTGCTGGCCTGGAGCAGTTGTGTGCAAGATGTTTTAGGCGAAAGCAGGGCGCGGCCGAGCGCAACCCCTTTGAGCTGGGCGCCCACGTGTTGGTGTGCAGGGCTTTGAAACGCCCGAATGTGGCGCTTCGGAGGGCCTGGCGTTACCTTGAGATTTACATCTTCGTGGCATTCGTGGCCGCCCATCCACTTGTTGTATATTGGGCGACATGGTTGCCGCTAGTGGCCGTGCTCTACATCGTCCCCGGCATCGTCGCCTTTGGTCCGACGGCCGTTATCAGCAGCCCGGTTCTGGTCCTCACCACAAGCAATCTGGCCAGCTATGTGTTCGGCCTCCTGCGGTTGATCGTCTTGGAGAGTCTTGCCCATCTTGTGGAAAGCTATCAGCTTAGCCGTTGGTTCCGGGCTGGTGACTTTCTTGAGGTGCGTCCAGTGGATGCCTCCTATTGGCTATCATGGTTGGTTGACCCGGAGTTTGTCACATGGGTTGTGCAAAAACCGTGGGGGATTTGGCAGGAAACCAACTTGCAGGACACCTTGCCGTGGGCACCATCGGTGAGGGCCAGTGACTTTTTCGAAGCGCTCAAAATTACCTTTGACGTTCTTTCGTGGCTGTATGGGTCGTGCTTGCTGCTGGCAATTCTGCACAGCTTAGGGAGGCGTCATGCAACTCGATGCTGTGGAGTCTTGGGCAGCAGGGGGCAAGATGAGGCTCAGCTTGCATGTCAAGACATCCTTCGAAAGAAATCCGAGGAGTTTTGCACGGTGAGCCCCAAGATCAAACCAGTAGTGGGCTTTGGCTGGCCTTGGCGAGATCCTGGCATTTATCCCAGAGTCGGACTCGTGTTGCTGGACATCGTCCTCGACATCAACACTGTCACTACATTCCTCTCTGACCAGCGATTCGTCTTTGCCGGGGTCATGGCCTTCGTCATAACACGAAGTCTGGTGAAGCAGATGTGCATTCTCAGGCCATGGCATCTCCGAAAGGCAATCAATGCCAGCATCCAAAGAGGAATTATGCAGCAAGACCTCCTTGACTTCCTCATGGAGGAAAAAGGTTCCGAGGCTATTGGAGCTGCCTGGCTCACCGCTTGGTCGCTCTTTCTATCAGCCTCCACAGCCTTTCAGATGCTTGTGCAGCTGATCAGCTTCTATCTGAGCATGCTTGGAGTTGCAGGCTACCTAGTCCAGGTGTGTGATTGGGGGACCCCTTCCGTTCCTGTGCATCTCGAGGATGATCCCAAAGAAGCAGCTGCTCCGTCGCCCGATGAGGACCCCGAAAAGGCGGCTGCTGCATCGCCCGATGAGGACAAGGACATGGTTGAGGTCTACTTCTGAACCACCCGACCCGGAGTTAGGGAAGAGCCAGTGCTATGTGAGACTTCGTTTGCATTGTGGGAACTTTTCTTGAGCTTCTTGACCACAGGGTTCTTGACAGATCCGCCAGGCCTCCCTGTCAGCTGAGCAGCAACATGGCCCAGCATAGCCGAATGCAACTCCCTGCTTGGAACTGCTCTTATGGTGACTTCTCAAAAATATAGTTCCTGTCTGGGGGTCCTTATGGAAAGGCGGCCCCTCTTATCTAGGGTACCCCAAGAAACGGACCCTAATGTAGAGAGCTCACGAGATAGTATGTATGCATATATATGTGGGGGCGAAAATAGGGTGGGGACCCTTAATATAGACCCTCAAATAGCAAGATCCCCTTATAATGAGGACCCCAATAAGGTACCCCTATTCTCGGACACCCCCATATATAAATGTACATGTATATGCATATATATATATTTATACATATCTCTATATAAATATATATTATATTGAAGAACAATCATTTGCCAGTGGCGAGGAAGGGATGCCATCGAAGCCCGAAGTCTCTAGGTTGACTTACGACTCCCTAAACCAACCGATGCCTTGCCGGTCTTCTGCGAGTGTGAGAGTCGAAAACCCTAAACCCGAAACCCTCTACCCTACGAAACCCTACATCCCTACCCTGTTGGAGGAACCGGTTGAGATGTTAAGGACCCAATGAGGGCTGCAAGTCACTTAGGGCCGCTCATGCTGTTAACAAACAGCAATTCTCCAGGGCCCCAAGTGCACAATCTTCCGCAGCTCGTATGTACCTTTCGCGCCCTAAAGCCGGTGTCACACACTACTTGTTCTAGGACCCAGAGTGCCAGAGTAGGCCCTTATTCCCTTTTTGTAGGGTTCAGGTTCCCCTATAGTCCCTTAAACCAAACAAGGGTATTCTTGTTGTGCCTAGGTTACTCTGGGGTCCATTATTTTGATTCCACGGCAGTCCCAAACTTTGGTAGCCCAGGGGCACCCTTTTGCCTGTTTTTTGGTTTAAGGTTCCCCCTTTCAAAGTAGCCAACGCAAAAAGCGTACCCTTATTATGATATGGTACTGGGCTACCAAGGAAATTTCAAGGCGGGACGGAGATCGGGAGTTCAAAGTCCACCTGCGGTGTTAGCAAGCAGATGGGCCTTTCGATCTCATTTTCGGTGGCCAGCGCGCTGTGATCCAAAGATTTGAAGTGCCTGCAGAGGCTGTGTCTCCCAAGTTTGTGATTTTACGTTGTGGATGTGGGTTTAGATTCCCCTTTTACTAGCAGTCCTGTGCAGTACCTACCCCCTCTTCTAATCCCTACAAAGGACTGTTAGTATAAGGGGGAACATCCCAACCTACATGAATCACACCTGAAGACCCCAACCCTAAACTTTACGCCCTGAACCCTAAACCCTAAACCGTAAACCCTAAACCCGAAACCCTAAATCCCCTGGTTTCAAGGAGGCACTACTCTGCAGAAGAGAAATGCTTACCTACCGCAGGATCGCCAAAGGCAAACCGCGCCAAAAAGGCTGGAAGAGTCCGGCAGTTGCCTTGCCAGCCACCGTCGAACCCGGAAATCCAACAAGCCCCTTAGGGTTTAGGATTTTAGGGGTTCTGACGTAAAGAGTCCGAGTTCAAATAAGGGTTTTCCGGTGTAGGGTTTAGGGTTTATTAGGGTAGAGGGCCCCCCAAACCCTGAACCTGTTTCCTTGCAGAGTCCATGTAGCCCCAGCTCGCGCTTGCTGTCAGGTTTGAGTCAACAAGCGCGCCTGCTCACTTCCCTGCTGGAGGACATAATGTTCTTAATTGTAAAGTAGGCAACCTCTAACCTGTTTGGGGTAATAGAATCCCCTTAGAATGGAGGACATCTGTTCTTAATTGTAAAGTAGGTAGCCTGTAACCTGTTTCTTTGTCGTAGTTGGGTAACATTTTACATTTTTGAGGGTACTTAAACCCAATAAAGAATATAATTTTACAGTTTTAATACTATCCCAACCATGAACTAGGTTTGGGGTAATGGAATCCCCTTAGAGTCAGACGTACTGGACAACCAGGTGTTCCACTCCACGTAGGCCGACCTTGAGATCTTGATGGGGGGTTTAGGGTTTAGGGTTTAGGGTTTAGGGTTTAGGGTTTAGGGTGTAGGGTTTAGGGTTTAGGGTTGAGACCCCACTTGATTTCTACTGCATGTGTTTTCTTCTATCCGCTCGACAAGTGGGATTCTTAGATTTTAAAGGACAAAGTGGCGCATCATGTGACGCAACGCGCTCGGGACAGCAGACAGCACAGGTTCAGGCAGCACAACATTCAAAACAAAAGGCGGACCACTGTACCAGAATGTGATCAGAATGAACAGGCTTGAAAACCTCAGGCGCCGGAATGTTAGGAGGCTCAGGCAGTCAACTAACTGTGCCGGAATGTTGCCTCAATAATCAGTCCAAGGAGTCTCAGGCGGGCAACCGTACTGGATATTGCATCAATATAAACAGGCCAGATAGGCTCAGGTGGTCAATGTGCCGAGATGTTTGCCTGTATAAGCAGGTTCTGCAGGCTCAGGCGGGCAAGTGCACAGGAATGTTTCAAATACTCAGCAGGCCAGGGAGTCAGACAGCCGTACCGCAACTTTGCTGCCTGATTGTGGGTATCCTCAGGGATGGGTCGGTGGTTTCTGGCGTTACTACTATTACGCCCCAACCGGGTGGTTTGCCCACACACAGGGTGGTCAAACATGGGTTTGGACAAGCATGCTTGAGAAAGCTCTTTCCGGAACCATGTGGCACCTTTCTTTCTGCCTCCTCAGCGAGCTGCCCAGCGTGTGCGCCCCGCTTCCCGTATGCCAGGGCCGTGTCCGTCTCTGCAGACTGCGGACCTGTGGCCGCGCGACCCAACAAGCACGGGACTGCGTCAGTCGTGTAGTGACCACAAGACGAGTCGTCTGCGAAATCCTGAGCTATAAAATAGGACCAAGAACTTCTGGAGTTTAAGGTTTAGGCTTTGGCTGTTCGTTGCTGTGCCTCTCAGGTGCTCGCGTGTGACAAACTGCCCGCAGTCCTGGTTTAGGGTTTAGGGTTTAGGGTTCAGGGTTTATGGGGCTTAGGGTCTAGGGTGTAGGGTTTAGGGTTTAGGGTTTTCAGCCTTGAAGCCTGAAGCCGCACCCCAAAGCAGCACTATTCCCTACAGTGTCTTAGACCTTTTTCCTAAGCAGTCTGGTGTCCTTTCGCAACCGCAAGCAGAAGACGCGGGCAAACCGACCAGTGTCTTACGCCTCAACCCTGAACCCACGCCCGAAAGCAGTGTTATTGCCTCGAAGCCCAGGACGAGAAAACACCGGAGCCCTTGTGCTGGACTCGTGCCTGAAACACTCCGAAGCCTAAACCGTAAGACGCGCGCGCGGGCAAACCATCGGGTTCTGCGAAGTCCGGAACGCAGGGAAACCCGCAGAGGGTCGTCGTTTATGAACAGAAGAAAATATAAAAGAACAATGTTGGAAGGCATGCAAAGGCCAGAAACACCGCGCCTGCGCATGTTTTATGTACCTTGTGAAAACAAGCGCGGGCAAACTATAGGGTTGCACCGTGCTATTACTACTATTACTACAATTACTACTACTATTACTACTACTACTACTACTACTACTATTACTACTATTACTACTATTACTACTATTACTACTATTACTACTATTACTACTATTACTACTATTACTACTATTACTACTATTACTACTATTACTACTATTACTACTATTACTACTATTACTACTATTACCACTATTACTACTATTACTTCTATTACTTCTATTACTACTATTACTACTATTACTACTATTACTACTCCCGAGTCCAGGAGGGCCACAGCTGGCCGGGATTCTCCGTTGTGTACGGGAGTGATGAGCATGGTCATCTAACTGCTGGCATTTGGGTTGTGTTTAGCCTATGGGCTGGGTGTGGTGCTTGGGGTGCTAGGACAACTAACAGGCAGACTTCTGGAATCCCGTCAGATGCAGTTTTCGTCGCGTACCTAGTGCTCCGTATGCCCCGTCATGTGGACGTCGGTTCAGATAGGCGGGAGGTCAAAAAACCTGAGACCCCCAAAGCCACAAATGCCAAAACCCAAACCTACTCAAAAAACTCCCGAAAACCCCTTTTTCCCTAAACCCTAAACCCCAAACCCTAAACCCTAAACCCTAAACCCTATGATCCCCTGCAGGACTGGGCGGCGCCCCCGAACCGAAGTAACTTGTGGCCTGCTCAATGCGAAGACGAGGAAGTAATGGGCTTGGGGGTTAGTTTTAGGGGTTGAAAGGGGTTTGGGGAGGGTCTAGGGTTAGGGGTTTAGGGTTTAGGGTTTAGGGTTAGGGTTTAGGGTTTAGGGTGAGGGGTTAGGGTTTAGGGGTTTACAGGGGTCTAGGGCTGAGGGTTCAGGCTCAGGGTTTGCGGTTTGGTGGTGGGGTTGGAGTTCAGGAAGTGCGAGGGTTTCAAGGGGATTAGCTTAAGAGGGCTTTATGCTGCAGGCTTTGCAGGTTCAAGGATGTGAGGGTTAAAGGGTTGAGAAATTTCACCCTATAAGCCCTAAATGTAAACCCTAAACCCGAGACCCTAAACCCTTACGAGTTCAGATTTGGGCCGCCGACTTTCGAGCCTAAACCCGCAGCCCTGAATCAAATGGGGGTTTCCGTAATTAGGGGTACCTTATTGGCCTCCTTATCTAAGGGAATGTCCTACTGACTCTTTGGGGATACTATTTGGGGGTCTACGGTCCTTATTTTCGTAAATGCCCAAATACAAATATGAGTGTCTATATGTGTTTTTTCAGGACAAACATGATGCGAATATGAGCAAATCCATATATAGCCAAGTCAATGCATAGAATGATAGAAGAGTCATTTCTATTTTCTTAACATGAGGCATGTGAAACCCTAAACCCTAAACCCTAAACCCTAAACCTTAAACCCTAAACCCTAAACCTTAAACCCTAAACCCTCGCAATCGTCAGGAGCAGGGTGC